CCATAGCTTTGGCCCGCTATATTTACGTCTACCATTTAGTAATAGTAACCAAATTTTGATAATATTTACTAAATTCTTCTCTCAGTGTTGATGTGAGAAAGGGCCGAAGAAAGCATTCTTCCCCGAATTCCGAGCGCACGCGTCTCCAACACGCGACCGTCCGTCTAATCTTCACGTGACTTTAACACGCGTGAAAGAGAATCCCGAGGCAAATTAAAAATTACCGCACGCGCGCGCGCGCGCATACAGCCGCGTATAAATTCCCCAGTTATATAAATCGTCGCGCGACACGATGTCTTATCTTAATAACGCATTTTTCTTCGGTATACTACCCGCTGTCGGCCGTATATCGTCGCCTTGATAAATGCAACGGTACGAAGGTCGCGGTAGCGACGGCACGAACGACGAAACAAGCGCGACGCGCACCGGTGAAACTCTCTTCTCTTTCTCTCTTTCTCTAAGACACGCTCGTCTGAGATACACGCTCGTCGTGTATTGCGTTGATGCTCGTACAGATACGTGCCGATAAGCGTAACGATCGGCTCGGCCATCGCGACATGCAAGCGGGGGGAGAAAGAGATGAAGCCGGGGGCTTCCTTAATTACGAAATCCCCGAGATATGTGGTACGCTTTATCGCAGCCGCCAATTAGCGCTCGGCGTCCAAATTCATTTCCGCGCGATTCACGGTGAAAACATGTCGCGGCGCTTTCCATCGCCTCCTGCCGCGGCTCGTCGCGTCGTTCAGCACAGAACACGAAACTTCGCAAGAATCGTGAAAAGCGGAACGACATTTGCTGACTTAGCAGTCTTATTATATTTCACAGAAATTCACTCGCGTTAGCTGTAAAAATGAGCTAATTAGCGCGTTCGATACATCCAGGGGGAAAGGAGGAAGGTTCGATCGTTAGCAAATTATCAATTAAGGTGCGGTAATAGTCGCTAATTTAATTTAATCACTCTTGCGAAACAACACGGGAGGCTCACGGTGTCGGTAGTCGTCGAACGATCAATGGCGCGGTTCCAATAAGCGATTATTGTTGTCGATTGACAAAAAACAAGCAAGATGAACGAGCTGATCGCGTGGGACGTTTCGTTGATGATGATGTCTCATTAAGCGCGCAGCTTCGCTACCCGAGGTTATCGGTTTTACAGAATGGAAAAGGAAAGACCCCATCTCGCTTTCCCCTTCGCCGCGCGCGCGGTACATAATTCCGACATAATTTTCCATTACGAAACGAGCGCGCGAGTTTGCGTGCCGTCGTTTAGGACGAGATACGCCGACGATAATTAGCCCGGCGTAATCGGCCGGCATGTTCTTGCCTCGCAAGTGCGGCGCGCGCTACATCCGCGAATGAGCAGTAAGAAATTCATTACGTCGCTTCAGGGCGCCGTGAAATAGAGATGCGATCGGGGACATGTCTTTCTCTCTCTCTTTCTCTCTCAATATAATCCGTTTGCGAATGTCGCATCCGGGATTTCTCTAAATAATTTTGTTACCACGATTTTCCCGCGTTATTGTTTCAAAGCTCGGCATCATTAAATGTGACGTTTGTAGAGCAATATATTAAATATAATAACAAATATAGTAAAAATAAATACATTTCAAAAAATAAATATATTTGCCTCACCAGAATATAAAGTGCATCAACCATATTTTTTAAATGAATTTTCATAAATTGCTGTGGAGAGAAGTGAAAAGAGAACTTTGACACAAAAACACTTGCAGATTTCTCTCAGCAATTTTCAATTACTCGAAATGTCTGTCTCGAGCTTTCGAGTTACACTCGATTGAACGTCGAAAAAATAATAATTTATGAAAAGTATGGCGATAGAAAATAATTAAAAATTTCTCTTATCTGAATATCGAATCTCTCCTCTTATCTGTATCGAACTTATCTTTCGATTTTTACTCATTGAAGACGTCATTGTCTTTTCTAAGACGTCGCGGGGATAAGTGGAAAGAGAATTTCTTAGACGCAAAAATATAAAGTATTTTCAACTTTCCCCCGACAGTTCTCGATTATCCGAGATGTCCGTCTCGGAGTTTCGAGTTACACTCGAGGCGACGTCAAAGAGAAGCAAGAATAACGTTTATCCAGCAAGGAAAAGAAAAAAAAAGAACGAACGGAAGGGCAGGACAAGGGGAGCGCGAGAAGAAGGATTACGACGGATATTCAGTAAAGCCTCAAATCGGCCCGCACCCTTCTGCTACGAGAATTTACGATTGTCCACGCGAAAGCGTAGGTAATCGGCGATGATATCACCGTTATAAATAGGCACGCCTCCTGTCTCTCGCGTATATACTCGCACGTATACACAGTCTCACACGCGAATCTGCACCTACTTGTCCGCACGAATGCCCGCGTCGGCTGTCTCTCTCCCGTAGACCGCCATGCACACACGCGTGCACACATGCAAGCGTACAGGTGTGATCGGGCGAGGTATCGGTCGAAAAGCGCTCGCCGAAATTCCCGTAGTCATTCGACGATAATGTTGAACAATTTTCGCGGAGCGCGTTATCCGTTCACCGAATTCGGCAAAGCTATTTCATATTGATCTAGTATAAACGACTTTAATTTTACTATCAGTCCGTTGAAATATTCATCATGCTTAAATATTTATAGAATATATTTATAGATGAGTATTTATACATTTTTAACTTTGTATGTGTGTGTCTCGCATGCGCGACTTCCTGACGTCTTCTAAACGCACGCGTCAGATTTGAGAAGACATGAATCGCGCTATTGTCCATTTCCACGGATGATTATGCAGCGACATTGTCGTCGGTGTTGTTTCAGGTGCGCGTAAAAGTGGTACGCGCACATTGTTCAGACGAGCGCGGCCATGCGTCCTTCGCACAGGCCGTGAAGGGAGAACGTCTCGAGAGGCCGATGGCAAGAAGTAATTACGGAAAAAGGCGACCGATAAACGCGACAAAGTGACGTTCTAAAGACCGCGCACGACGACCCGGAGCTTTAATGAGGACTCGACCACGGCGAAAAAAGTGCGGCGCGCGCGACCGCGACATTTTTAAAAGCGCTATCGATACTCGCACACCCGATTCGACCGTCGAAATCACCTTTCCTCACCGACACACATGACAAGATAAATTTTTACCAGACAAAATATAGCGAGAGAAATTTGTGATACATCTGTAAAAGCAAAATAAAAAAGAAGAAGCCGAAAGAATCGACTAATAGGTCGAAGAAGAACGAGCACACACGCCGTCGCTACGACCGTCGCCGCGACCGATACTCCTTCTATCCTGTCCGTGGGAAGTCGCGCTCCGAATACAAAATGGGGATCGTTCCCGAGCTGAACGATCGGCTGATTACCGGCGCCGGTAGTAGTGGTCTTAGTAGCGTAGTGGTAGTAGCGCTAGAGCGGAAGTGGCGAATGGGCCGGAGAGCTGCACTTTGCGCGGCGATAAAAGCTCCGCGCGGTGCGGCGCGTACTTTCTGCGCGGTATAGAAAAAATCGCCGGATTCCGAATCGATAAGCGCGCGAGCTGCGGCGGCGGTGCGGATCGGCGCCGCGAGAGCCGAATAACGAGCGGATGATTACAGTCGCGGTGGGTACATAATGGCGAGGCCCGACAATGTTAAAAAGAACCTTCTCTCCGTTGCGCCGTCTTCCCTCGATTACAGGCGCCTTCAGGAAGAAGGATGCTCCTCCGCGCCAAGGATGCAGCTCGCGCGGCAACACCCGCGAGGGGGTTGTTCAAACGCGTAAATGCGCGCGCGCGTGTGTGTATGTGTGTATGTGTGTGTGTGTGCACGCGTAACTGCAACGACCCACGCATAATAATCGCGAATCTGCACGCGCTCGCGCGACTATTCGATCGGAAGCGCGAACCGTCGGACCGTTAGGTCTTTATTCATTGTTTATTCCGGGCGACGAGGAGCCGACGCTTCCGTCTGCACAGTGACGGGGCGACAAATGGTGGATATACACCGTGCGCGAGGAACGGTCACGGATTAAAGTGGACTATGCGCGAAGAAACGAGCGACCGGATCTTAAAATACATGAGAGTTGTCCCGGAAGCGTGCCTATCTCTCTTCCCCTTTATTTTTCCCGTGACCGATATAACCCGACCTAATATACTCGAGACGTGTTATATGCGTGTAATTAAAACTGAATTTTTCTTCTTTTTAACACCCTACAGAACTCTAAACATAAAAAAGTTACGTAAATCCTAAACACGCGTAAATTCTACGAGTGCGCCCTCATTTGCTCACAACTTCCATAAAAATGATCAAAATTCAACGTTTTCTTTTTAATTGATGTAGAAAACACCGAGGAGTACGAATTTATTGATGCTTTTGCGCGCGATTCAATAAACTTTCAAATAGTTCATACAAGCCTAAAGTACGTATTAATAGTTGCTACTTGAAACTTATCTCACTTGTCTTATAATGAAATACTCGGATCTGAATTTATAATGAGCTTTTCAATCGAATCATGTGACATTATATCTGTAATCGTGATTCAGCTGAAAAATTCACATCTAAAGGCCGTCACGTACAAAATGACATAGCTGCATATGCATAGCATAAGACTACCTCAACCAATGAACATTTAGAATACAGTTGTCATATATTGATCTGTGAAACATGCTCATTGATTGAGACATATTTATGCTATGCACATGCAACTATATTATTTTGTATGCAATGGCCCTTACTCTGAATTCAAATCTGACTATCTCACCTGAAGTAAGTTGCGAATATTAATAGTCACAGGCCTTAGCTTGTGATATTTTTCGTCGACCAATAGATGGCAGATTCTTTTTCCAATAAATCGAGCGTGCTCAACGACGACACGCTATGAGAACGCTCGAGATCTCAATCGGCCGTAAAGGAAAATTCCTGCACGACTCGAAGACGCGCTCAATAATAAATCAAGATCCCGGCGCACAAGCAAGTCCGTCTTGAAAATGTCTGTCGATTGGTAGCCGGACTAATATTTCCTGCGGTAAGTGAGAGATGCGTGTACTCACATTCCTTGTTGCGATCCATGGCGTGCTGGAGCGGTGAATCGTCGACCTCCGCCTTCGGCGGCGACTGATTGCCCTCGGCCATCTCCGATCCCGATCCTGGAACACCGACGGCGGCCTTCCTTCCCGCGGCGACGGCGTCGGTCGCTGCTTTATCCTGCTGCGGCGGTGACTTCGTCCCTTTCTTGCCGTTTCCAGCGTCCCTGCCGAAACACGAACAAAACATGAGCGTTTTGTGGATGAAACTTTCATACTCGGCGTCGCGTCGCGTCGCGTCACCGCTTTCCAGCGAGATCGAAGGTAGAGCCCCGTCGGCGAGATCGGAGCGAGTGTCAATCGCAACCCGGGGTCCTTGTAAACACGCCGAGGCATGTTTTTGTCACGGATGACGGAATGACAGATCAATCAATCGACACTCGTCTCGGCTCGGCTCAGCGCGACGTCTTCAGCAGAAAACGCCGACAACATATCTCTATATACAACTGAATAACTTATATTAGATCCTGTGTAACAAAAAAGTGAGGAGAGTAGAGGACCAGACGCCATTACATGCATGTAATACTTGCGAACGAAAAGTGTGCGTTTAAGTGCAGCTAGATTACACTGCTCGCCGTATCTGTAATTTTGCATTCAAGTGTCACCAGGCTTTACTTCGTAGTGTCTGCAACTTTGCATATCTTGTCTCTTAGAAGTTATATCTATACACCAAATTTTACTACTGATTAAGACAGTAATAAATTTTATTATTTGTTACCGCGTTTCAATGTGTTTTTAGTCAAACGTCGTTATATGACGTCTTTCCAAGTATCACATGCACGTTATTTATTATTCCTGGCCTTCTATTCACCTAATTTTTTCTCGCTGGTGTATCAGTTTTGTACGTAGAGATCAGCGGTTGGAAACGGCCGAGCTTTCTTCGTCCCCGCGAGACGAACCTCCGTTAAACAAGAAACGTCCATCCGACCGCGTGGTGTATCGAGTTGGTGTCTGCCGCGCGCAAAATTTATGTTCCAAGTATTCACGAGTTGGCGAGTCCGTGCCCTACGGTCTTAAATTAAAAACGCGGCCTGTCGATATCGAGCGACAGGAAACGATGCACGCGGAGAAGAACTGCGAGAAATGGTTTTTATCTCGTCGTGGCGCTTGAAGCATCCGCTTATCAAATATACCTGTCGATACATTGTTAGATAACGTAAGTACTGTATAAAATAACTGCGGCGTAAACATTGTGCAAAATGACCGAACGTACGCGTCGCGAATGACCTCGGCTAGAGGACAGAAAGACAGAGATGTCCTTTTCGAGTCGCGTTTTTTTTGCGACGAAAGAGTAAAAGTAATCGGTCGCCGAGGGGTGAAAACGTTTATCCCTATACGGTTGCTGCAATTGAGCCGTATGTTTCATGACAAGGGACCGATTGTCGTCGTGGTCGTCATCGTCGAAATGTCACGCAACAAATTCAGCTCATCCTCGAAAAGTTCAGAGAAAATTGCACGCGCGCATGGGTCCGCTCGGGCCCGAAGGAGGTAAGGAAAGTGGCGAGTCGATTAAAGATCTCGAAGCGTCGAGGCAACGATCCACGAGGTAGTTTAAGATCCCGAGGGGAAAGTTCCGAGAAAAGATTACTCGTCACAGCTGGAGATAGGAAGCCGGTCGTTAAGAGCGTTTATATTCTCGCGTAACGATTACCACGCGGTGCTGATACTAAATTGCGGGTTAATCGCCCGCTCCGGCGCGGCCCTAGCCGCGATCTCGCAACTCCGCAGCGACGGATTAAGGCGCTAAAAGACCCAAGGTGCGCACAGAGGACCGATTTCCAAGTCACCTCGGAAGTTGCGAAACAAATTTCACAGATCGGTCGAACCACGATCTGACATTATAATGATCGAGCGTTATTATCGATTTGAACAAATTCAGATGCTCTACGCGATCAGCAAAACTTCAATCAAAGCAATTTTTATCTATTTAAAAAAAAATTAAATAAGATAAAGATAAATAAAATTCAAAATGATAATAAATTAGGCTGAATTAAATTAAAATTTTTCCAGGAGAGATTATTTGTTCGAACAAAAATATTGAATGAAGTAATAATGAAATCGATTTCTTGTATTTCGGAGAATAATCGCGAATTTCGAAAAATAATTGCGAATCTCGAAGTTCCAAGCCATTCGAGTCCGCGCAGCGAGTCGCCTTCTCTCCGCTGTTAGCGATTTTACAAGGTCGGTGACGCCAAGCTCTGTCGCGGATTAATAGAAATAATGTCTCTCGCAGTAATGACGCGGGCGATGCGACAAAGCGTTAGGGTGGAGCCGGCCGAAGCTTGTTAAAATAATCGAGACAGGTGCCGAGCGACGCGTCTATTTTTCGATCGCGATAACGCCTTGCAGCACGCTCGCGATCGGGTATGCGCTCGTCTCGCGTACTTTGTCTTCTTCTATTTATACACTACGCGAACACGAGTATACCGGTTATTGCCGTTGAGAGCCGGTAGAAAGTGATAACACGCGGACCCGAGAATATTCCCCTCGTTTTCGCTATTTCAAGAGGTTTTATTAATATTCGATAGATATAACTCGTACACTTCCCTCTCTCTTTCTCTACCTCACTACTGTCTTTCTTGCTCTCTCCTCTTCCCCGTAGCGGGCGCAGAAAGCAAATTATCTCACCTCTCGTCCTTAGCGTCGCGCCTAGGGTCCTTCCTGTCCCGGTCCTTATCCTTGTGGCCGTCCGACTTTTTCGCCTTGGACTTCGGCTTGGCGACGTCGCCTTTGCCGACCTTGTGCTCGTCTCCGCCGCTGCTGACGACGACCACAGCGGTGCTGTCGTTGCAAGATTGCGCGCCGGAAGTGCTCGAGGACGTGGAGGACGAAGAGGAGGACGACGACGTCGATGCTCGGCTATTAGTGTAATCCTGCAACGAGTAGAGCGCGTCTCGTTATCTCGCATTCTTTCAGCGAAGTTGAAAAGTGAGATAGGCAAGTCAGATGCAAACGCGGGGTGCTTACTTTAAACCACTCCGGATAGATCGCGCTGATGGTGTCCAGAAGGTCCTGGTCGAGTTGAATCCTCCAGAACGGGGAGCCGCTGTCCAACCTGTGGCCAGACTCTGAAATCAAGAAACATAGTAGGTTAATATAACTCACAAAAAACGCATGCACGTTATATTATTCACATCGAATTATGTTCTATTTTCAAATAAATATGTTAGTCACAAAAGGTTTATGTTAACATTACTCTATTATGCAATTAGTAAAAACGATTGCATAGTATCTATAAATAAGATGACGTTATTTTTTCAGAATACCAATGTTCTATCTCAGTGAATAGTGAATTTAATTTTATTATTAAATTATATCTCGAAACATACATACACGCGTGCGATAACGCCAGAGAAATCAATAACTGAGTTCAGCAGAGAAAGCTGCTTCGCAACTGTTGCAAAATTCGTAAAAATCTGACTGGCATGCTCTTAATCCACGAACATGTACTAATCAGATTTACAAATTTTATAACAGTGTTTGCGAGATAGTTTTCTCTGCTGAACGCAGCTAGTATGTCGCGTGCTAAGCGAGGTCATCATATTTTTTTCAAATTTTAGGAAGAGGAAGATCTCTCTTGTCGCGTAATCACTTGATCTCTGATCCGACATCCCGGCTCACGTCATCGTGGTCGCGAGCCGCAAGATTTAAAATGCGCAAGTTTCGAGACTGCTGCGCGCGAAGGATCGCGGGTCGGGGCCCTTGAGAGTCATTCCCGCCGCATAAGGGCTAATAGTACCTCATGAGCGATACGCCCAAAGGCGTATCAAAACCCCGCGGAATGCCGGCCTCATCGTTTCTTTCGCGCATTCCGAGGGATTCCCTGCCTAATTTAAACGTTCGCCGATACCGGTCGCGATCGAGGGGATCACCCGACGAGACCTGGAAGAGGCGGAGGACGACGACTACGACGTGGGTACTCGAGGATCGCGCGTCGCTTCGCATCCTCTCGAGGACGCGCAACGGCGGGAGGGGGGGAAGAGGGAAGGAAGGGAGGCAAAGGAGAAGAGCCTCTCCTCGTTACGGCGACATTCTACGGGCGGGCGAGACGCGTGCCCTGCCTCCGTAATCGAGGATCGACGAGCGAGAGATGAAAAAGAAGGATCGTCGTTCCCGAGGGACTTTCGAATACTCCGGCCGCGCGGCGACAGAAACGCGATTTTTGCGACGCCGTTAGGGTGAACGCGCTTTCTAAAGCGTAACCGCGTCGGCTGGCCGGCTGCCCATGCCTTCGGTTTTACGTAAACCACGCCGGGAAGCCGGCATAACGTAATATCTACTTTGTAACGGCGAAAATACGTCAACGAGAGAGAGAGAGAGAGAGAGAGGAGCGGTTCGATGAACCACAAAAGGAAGAACCAAAGGAAAAGAAATCTGGAGATATACGTAAAATCGAACTCACGTGCGCGGCAAGCCGGCGCTGGTGGGAAACGAAACGAAGAGATAGAGAAGATGGGAAAAGGAAAATCCGAGCGCGTCCTGTGCACGCGGCGGCGGGAAAAGACGGAGAATTTCACCTTAACCCAATAAATGATCGGCGCGCCGTGGTTACCGCGAGGGAGAGCGGCATAAATACTCAATCAGTATGCGCGCGCGCGCATACGCGGCGGCGGACAATCTGTTGTAAATCACGCGCCGTGAATCATTCGCCGACATAAATCTAGTCGCGGTCCGATCAATACGCTCCTAACCGGTCCGACACATTAGTTAAACCGCGGTGCTAGTCGTCGTTTACGGGACACACACATCTCGCGGGGTCCACCCGTGACGTCCCTTTCCCTCTGGCTGTCCACCCGCCGATCGGTGCCAGAAAAAGTATCGGCAATGCCGATGGCCTAATAGCGCCGATCCGGGGGAATCACGAGGGGGAGAACGATACATCATCGGCGAGATCCGCGTCTCCGAGAGCTTATCGGACAGATCGAGCGACGTCGTCGCCATCTCCGGCTCGAGGTCAACGACACGAGCCCGTCCATGTCAACTGTGAGCTGTTATCGTTCTAGTTGACACGTTGACTGGCATGCTGATTTTCGCCGATTATCTCGATGCTCAATCCAAGTTCAAGTGATAGCAAGTGTAACAGATGCCGACTCGACACGCCGTCGCGACAAGCATCGATTGCATGTAAATGATATACGGGAAGATTACTCTCTAATAACGTACCTGCGATACGTCCCGACGATCGCACATCGTTATTTCAGCACTCCCGATACTCGTTTCCGTACAAGACTCGCTTCAGACTGACAAAAGATACGTGAAACGCGGAGCGATGTCGATCGGTGTATTCGTGACGGTTGCTCGATGCAAAAGGAAGATGGCTGCGCGATTCATGTACGCCGAAAATATGCGACGAAACGTAGACGGTGTCGCCCTCCTACAACGGTGCGTGCTATCATCTCTCTCTGTCTCGCTAACAAACCGCGGAATTACTTCGAGAGATTCAGAGCCGCGAATATCTCTGGCATCGTCTTTTCCTCTTTCCCTCTGATTATCAACGCATTTGTAATTCCCGATTAACAAATCAGACGGACTCTACTACTTGAATGAGACGAAGATAACAACGAGAGTGGCGGACACCGACTCGACATGTCGCGACAAGCATCGGTTGCATGTAAATGATATATGAGGAGATTACTCTCTAATAACGTACCTGCGATACGTCCCGACGATCGCACATTGCTATTTCAGCACTCCCGATACTCGTTTCCGTACAAGACTCGCTTTAGACTGATAAAAGATACGTGAAACGCGGAGCGATGTCGATCGGTATATTCGTGGCGGTTGCTCGATGCAAAAGGAAGATGCTGCGCGATTCATGTACGCCGAAAATATGCGCCGAAACGTGGACGGTGTCGCCCTCGTGCAGTAGCGCGCGCTGTCACTTCTCTCTGTCTCGCTTGGTCTATAATATGCAGTGTAAGCTGAAATATGCAGTGTAAGCCTTAAGAATTAGCCAATTATAGTCGATTATTTCAAGAATAATCGGCTAGGATTGGCGAATTGTTACGGCTTACAACGCATATTGTAGACCAAGCCTAACAGACCGACGCTACTTCCCACGATTCGGTGCCGCGAATATATCTATTCATTTCCTTTCTCGCTCTGATCAACGCTGATCATTTCTGATTCCCGATTAACAAATCAAACGAACTCTATTACTACTCGAATGAGACGAAAATAACAATGAGAGTGACAAATGTCGACTTGACACGTCGTGACAAGCACCGGCTATATACATCGATATACGAGGAGATTACTCTCTAATAACATACCTGCATTACGTCCCGATGGTCGCACATCGCTATTTCGGCACTCGCGATACTTGTTTTTGTACGAAACTCGCTTTAGACGACTAAAGACGCGTGAAACGCGGAGCGATGTCGATCGATGCGTTCACGGCGGTTGCTTGGCACAGAAAGAACGAACATAGGTGCATAATAGATCACGCCCGCTGATTGGCCGAATTCGCGTCGCGAACGCGTAGCGCTCCCACAATGACGCCACCTGGACTTTTAGTTCCGCGGATGCCTCACCGATAGATCGATAGTTACTATTTCCAATTAACCATACTCGTTTCTATAGCTACACGTTTCTCATGGCTGTTAATCAATCGATAGTACACATTCTTGCTTTCTGGATTAATTAACAGTCATGAAAAGCAACAAATAGAGAGAGAAAGAGAGACAAAGTAAGGAAGAAGCGAACTCGCTCACATTAAAGATCGTTTTGCATTAGTTGCAAGTCGATCGCAAGCACATTGCTTGTCGCGACAGCCAATCAGAAGCGTCAATAGTATCACTTTTGACTGGCTGTTGCGACAAGCGTTTACAGTAGACTTTGCGAAATTGTGGAACGAACTTTGCACCGTTCTTGCCGGGCGTATCGACGACGGTCGTGGCGAAGGGGAACACCCTGTACACGCCGACGACATTCCCGAAGTGCAGCGTGCAGTTTTTCGCGACTACCGGTGCAGCGGGGTCTGTGACGAGAGTGACTCAGAGGCTTCGAGGCAGACGCGAGGGCGAACACGCACGTGCTCCTTCAAGCGCACGTCCGTGCCTCGTGTAGGTGTGCGCGTGCGAGGTATGTGTGCGCGACTGAACCGCGGACAAGGAGCCGAAGGGAGGAAAAAGAGCGGAGGGAAGCGCGAGATTTATTCGGCCGAATTTCGACGGCCGTCGATGCCACGCCGGCCGCCGCTTCCGAGGAATGCATTTCGTATTCGGGATCTCTTGCGCAGAATACATTGTATATCCTACACACAGAGAAAGAGACAGAGGACTCGTGTGTGGCGTATGTTAGATGCTTGCTTCCACCGCCGGTCTCGTCCACTATATCGAAACTTGTTACGATTTTCACCCAATTTATCCAAATAGTGTTGTATTCGCATATTTTTCGTCGTCGCTTTATCTTTCCGACTTTATTTTCACCGTTTTAGACTGCGTTCCGATTCTTCACCCGGGTGGGAAAGTACTACAGAATATATGACATATACTATAGTACTATTAGTATTACAGTGCATCTGGGGGGGGGGGG